AGAACCTCTGAAAATAAAGCCCACGTTAAAACACTGAAAATAAGGCCCGGGCCTTATTTCTAGAGGTGAAATAAATAAAATCTAAAAAATAACTGAAACGCAAAACTCATTTTAAGATTAAAATCCATGGAATCGAAAGCTTACAAAACTTACTTTTGCGTAGAATAAAAATCATTTCTATATATACCCTAGGTTACGCAAAAATATTAACTTACCTATCATATTTGCTTATAATACCTTACAATACCAATTCGCACAAGGTTACAGAGAAAAACAAAACGCACGTGCTTTCACTTTAGTAGTTGAACGGATACTGATGCAGTTGACAATATATTAGTCGTGCTGCGATGTTGTCATATTAATGGCGGGTATTTTAACTATGGGCCTTATTTTCCGGTGGGCCTTATAAACTTCCACTACCTTATTCTATATAGTAAACTGAAAAATGTTTTCATTAAGTTTGTTTTCATTTTCTCGTAGGGGCAATTTAGGAATTTCTTTATGGACTTCCAAAGAATTTAATAGTATTATTTTAAGGCACATGTCTTTGAGATTTTCTTGTTTTTTCTTTATTTTTCATAAGTATGTTTAAAACATATTTAACTGCACCCATAATAATTGCAATCCTAAAAGAGTATACAGCCTTTTTTTGAGATAACACACCGCGGGCTCTGCTAGTCTCGAGAGCGCACAGTGAAGTTCTTTCCTATATCTTATAATGCATGAATTTCCACTTGGTTTTCTCGCGCTCGCTCGGGTCTAGCACAGACCGTGATGCGACGGGACCGCGATTCTCTAATGCATTATTACCTCAATAAAGTTGTCTGAATGTCTTTTGCTATATCTTGACCGGCATATGATCTTATAAAATGAGTTGTTAACTAGAAACATTTTATTCAGACATTATAGTTACTGTGTACAAAATTATAAACTATAAACTGGTCTTGGTAAGGTGATACGTATCATTAACGATGTGCAATTTTTAAGTGCAATATTTTTTATTTTTGTAAAATGGTTTTTGTTTTCATAGTTTAAAAAATAAATTTAAATGTAAATATGTTATTTAATCTGTATATACATCTAATAGGATATATTACAAAAAATATTGATTATAAAATGTTTTTTATTAGTTAATTAGGATGTACTTAAATTTTATACATGTTTTTTTATGTAAAAATGTTACTCAAATTGAGATTTATTTCTTTTTATGTATGTATTTTCGTTGATGTTATTTTTTTGCTGAAGTTCCACTAATTTTAACTGTAAATACTTAGTAAACTGCTATATATAGCTTAAGGGCATTTCAATACCTTAAAGTAGTTGAACGGAATTTTTTGAAATCTAACAAGTTTCTTGTTTTGATGAAAAACATAACATTATTGGAATGGAAATAATTTTAAAAATTTATGATTTTTTTCCTTCTTTTATACATAAAAATCTATACAGTTAGGTATTTTAGGGTTATGAATGGGATTTTATTACATTAGTAATGTGGTATTTTTTAGTATCCTAAAAAGAGGAAAAATAAGCTTCTCTGATTTATCACCCGACCTACATTGCCATTTAAAAAATGAAGATGCGGCAGTACGCTAAAAGCTGACATCACATAAATTTGACATATACCTACTCTAAAAAATGAAGAATACAATCCCATTCATCACCCTACAATTTCGTAATTTGTTTCAAAGAAAATGCCTTGTTGTCGCTATCCTATTTAAATAGGACTTCACTTGAATGTAAAACTGTTTTTTTGTATTTTATTTTTTGTATGTATATAAGCAGGTTAATGCAAAACTTCAAGGTACCTGTAATGTACAGAGTATTTAAAAGGAAAACAGAAAACTTTTATAATTTGTCAAGTAGTAAGTTTTTAAAATGATCGATGATAATAATACGTATATTATTGTTAAAAATGTTTTATGTGACTAATTTTAATATTTATTTTTAATGTACGTTGCTCAAAGACATTTGAAAAGTTATTTACATTAGACAATAAATATGTATTACTAAGTATTTTTAACATGTTAAAAAACTGTATTTTTGTTAAACAAGAATGTTAATATATGAATATTTTAATTTTGTGTACAGCGTTTCATTTTAAATTTACTGAAATACCGAAGACAATTTAAACGTTTTTGTTGAATGCCAAATGCTGCTTAAAAAGGACAGCTTTTTCAAAATGACGTTTCGTCAATTTTAGTTATTTATTTTTTTTAATACAGATCTGTATCTACTTTTTATCTCTTTATTAAAATTTTCATTTTTTTCTATTTTACCTTTTGATAATGATCTCAACTTTAATTCACACACCTTAAATATTTACTTAGAATAAAAATCTCAATTGTGGGTTAACCCACGGCACCCAGGCCTCAGTAGACCCATTGTGCATCCTCCTAAGTTGATAGGCATCTCCTAGCCCGTGAGCCAGCTTACAGATTTAATGTAGTTGACAACGTCGCCAAGAGGTGCCCTTTTTATATTGGCCGGGCCGGTGTTAGCCAATTCACGACGAACACAAATCTAATAAATGAGAGCGTCGTGAAATCGTAGAGAATATGCTCGATATTCTCATCTTCTTGTTCGCACCCCCTGCAGAGTGCGGTTTCTGACAGCCACAAGCAATTGAGATGCTTTCGTATTTGACAATAACCAGTCAGAATGCGCGCAGATTCTGTCTAGTCATAGTCAAGTATTTGTTTGCTGTAGTGACAGGATATCTTAAAAGCTTCCTGGCACCTCTGCAGCTTCTTTTCTATCTCATCTTTCCTTGAATTTCACGTGGGAATATTCTTTAATTAGGTCTGTCACTACCGATGTTGTCGGTCCAATAGAGGGGCTAGTTCCAAAAATTGATTGGCTGCTTTCTTGGCTAGTGAATCAGCAAGTCGGTTACTTTTCGATGTGATGTGACCTTTGATTCATCTTTAGGTGACCACATTGTTGATGGATTCTTCAGCCAAAGCTCAGTGACATTCTATTACTAACCCTGAGTAATCGAGTACGCGACGTTGCCAAATTGGACTGATCGGTACTGCGTTGCGTATCATTTAGCAGATTTGAAATCTGAGTTAGGAGCGTACTGAATAACGCTCTTAAAAACTTAGAATGGGCTATATCTCACAAACGAAAAATTATATCAAAAAATGCTTAAAACCATTTCTAAGATAGGAAGGGGGAACTAAAATGACATAAAAGGGAACTCGCCTCCATCAACCCCCTATGCCCCATAACCCCCACCGATCTTAACTAAAAAAATTTAAATAGCAAACCCCTACTTGTGAGGCCCTTAAAAAATGCTATCCAATGGTATAAATAATAATTGTACAGGAGGGGTATCGCAATAATTACCAAATTAATATTTAACAATTTTAAAAACAAACATACCCTACTTGTGATACAATATTAAAAAGCTCTAAAGGCATATAAAACATTATTTTCAATGATACCGTTTACAGAAGCAAAAAAAACCGTTTCATTTAGATATTAGAAGAAAAAATAATGAATTAGATCTTCAGGTTTTTATTTAAAGGAAGCTTTTAATAAAGACCTAATGATTTTATGTCATTTTAGTTCCCCCTTCCTATTCTAGAAAGGGTTTCAAGCATTTTATGATATTTTTTTTTTTGTGAGATATAGCCCATTGTAAGTTTTTAATTTGTCACAATATAATATTTTTTAAAACTTCATTACTGTCTTTATTGTTCCGCAAGTTATGAAAAAATACTTGAGAAAAAGAGCAGTATGGCAAGGTATGTGCAAAAATATGTTGCTGAATTGAGGCGGTTGAGAGGGGTCATAAAAAGCGATAAATTGGGGAAGGCGTTGGTTTTATCGGTGTAAAGATGAGAAATAATTAATTTAAATGAATGGTACATGTTTTGAGAAGAAAAGGAAAACAGAGTGGGATATTGTGTCTTGGATATCAGGTAGAGTTTGGAAAAAAAATTTGATTTAAATTGTTGCATAGTCTGGAGATTTTAATGACATTAAATAAATTAAAATAAAGGTATTTGATATTTAAATATCTCTTTGAAAAAAGGAAAAGGGGTCGTGTCTAGCAGAAAAGAGGTAGCATAAGCAGTAGCACAAAATAGAAAGAAGTAGCAGAACACGAAAAATGTTTCATTTTGTCGTTTAAAAATTTTAGGAGACAAACCACCATATTGAATTTCTTTGATTGAAATCCAGTGACCGACCGAGCGATGTTTGACTTTCATAGCCATCCCGGATTTAAAAATAAACTATTTGACATGTAACGATTTCTATACTCAGCTTTACTTAGAAATTACCGTAAATAGTAGTGTGTTAAAAAATTCCAAGGCAACATAATATGTTAAAAGGAACCTTAAAAATACAAGGTGGCGCAAAATCAAGTACCCTATGGAATGTTGTCATGGTTTCGTTTGTAGTTGACATTTGTTTGAGTTTCTCTGTTAGTTGCAAAGTAGATACTTGGGAAAATTCATTATGAATCGATATACGCCTCGAAAACGTACCGAAATCGTAAATTTTTTTTATCAGAATAATTCGTCGATCATCAGAATTTTTCCTGGACGCCTTATCTCGAAAAACGCCGATATTGCATATCCGCCAAGGTCTCCCGATTTAACTGTTTCAGACTTTTGGTTATAGGGTTATCTCAAAGATAGGGTATTTGTAAATAATTCTTGAACACTAGAAGCATTAAGAAGACAACATCCGGGAAGAAATTGACAGAATACCACCTGAAATGTTGGAGAGTTATGAAAAATGCTTCAAAAAGAGCTCATTATTGCATTAATGCTGGGGGTGGGCATTTGGTCGATATTGTTTAGTGTGTAACAAACCAAAGTTTAAATAAATATTTTTCATTTATAATATGACTGATTTTTAATTAATCTTACATTTATATAAAAAACAAATAGGGACTTTATTTTGCGCCACCTTGTAGAAACATTTACCAGTTCTTTCAGCAATGCAGGTATACAAATTTCAAATTTTTTAAAACAAAATTATAACATTTTAAGAAATTTATTAAGTTTTATTACAATTATTTAATTCACAAATCTTTAAATAAATAAAATCCGTATCTCTCTCCAAATCAGATAACGTATTCCTAAATGTGAGAATATTCTTACTTCCTTCACTTTCAGTGACCGATTCAATAAGTTCCATTTCTTTGTTAACACTTTTTTGAAATCTTTCTAACACTTCTGACACGCTTTCGTTCGTGACACACGTTTTTATTTCATAATGCTCATATAACTCGGCAGGAATGATGATCAAGCCAGGAACGTGTTGATGTAAGTGGTGTAAAATGGAAAAAAATGCATCATTGGAACTAAAAAAAAAAAAAATCAAAAATATATTAACAGCTTTTCGCCTATCTTTTATTCCTCTAATTCACTTAATGGAAGTATTCAGGGATCAGCTTTTGGAGAAATTATCTGTTTTTTGATATTTAGTGTGTGAATGTTGCAAATTATGGAGGGATTTGGAGTGTGAAATCCAAATATTTACATAAATATACCAAATATGCTGCTCTTGAAATAAAAGAAGAGAATCGTACCACGTGAATTACAATGTAACATCTGCCGTCTTAAGCTTGATGTTTGTTATGAAGCAGTGCAGTTAATTGTAATATTTGAATCGGAATTGAGTCAAAACACTCGACACTCGATGTTTTCAGATAGTTTTTTTATATTGGCTTTTGTTAAAAAAAGGAAAATTTTATTTGTTGATATATTATAGTGTTAAATAGTTAGAATTATTAAGGTGCGTATAGATATAACGGGCCAGGTCCGGGCCATCAACGAGCCCGGTCCGGGTCATCAACGGGCTCAGGTTCGTCAGATTTGTACGGTGTCGTACATCTACCGCGCGATGGAAAGCAACGAGCCTACCACGGGCCAGGCCAAATATGATCGAAGTAGGCCCGTTTTCTTTCCATCGCGCAGTAGGTATACGACACCGTACAAATCTGATGAACCTGGACTCGTTGTTGGCCTGGATCCGGCCCAGGCCCGGCCCGTTTTTTCTATACGCCCCTTTAGGTCCGGCATTGTTATTTCTTCGCTCTCCAGGATTCAGCAATTTTAAAAGATCAAACTTGGTATCACTTAATTATTATAAATACAAAGTTTACGAAGTTAAAATAAACCAGTTACCACAGAAGCAATGATTTTAATTTCTACGTTCCACAACAATCAATCTATCAACAAGATTCTTCAAAATACATTCCACAATTCCATCCTGTCGGCCTTCTAAATGTATTACCATACTCTTTACTATGAGTCAAATTTACACATACAATGAACAAGTTGATATGCTTCCGATATACGGATTTTGTAACGAAAATAGTCGCGAAAGTGTTCGAGTTTATAGGGAGTTCCTAATTTCCAAGCCCAAATCACATTTTTAAATATTGCAAGCTGACTTCGTGAAGATGGTAGATTTGAATCAATGAATAGGAATAGAGGGCGAACAAGTATGACAAGAACTGTAGAAGTTGAGAAACAAATATTAAATGCGCTCTAACACGATGTGACAGTTAGACTAGACCTTTAGAACACAATATGCCAGTTCTTAAAAGTATTGTTAATGAAGTTTAAAAACACAATTTTAATGTATTCTTACATATCAGGCAGGTGCAACAACTCTTACCCGTGGATCCTGCAATGCATGTAGTGTTTTGTAATTTTATTCAAAATGATAAAGTCCAAAATGAAAACTTCCATGGACAAAGCTCATTTTACATAACGAAGACGTTAATGCCAGCGAAAATCCGAGAGCAACGAAAATAAGCTACGTTCAAAATTAACATCTGAGCTGGAATTATTAACAATTTTAAATGAGGATTATATAAATTTCTTACAACCAAAGTTACCTGCCTTACTTGAAGATGTGCCACTATTAATTCGTCACAACATGTGGTTTATGCATACTTCACCTCATTTTACAAATGTTAGACAACATTTAATAAATGCATTTCCTGGACGATGGATAGGAAAAGGAAATGATGCTCCTATACGATGGCTTGCAAGCTACCCGGACTTGACATATTGCGACTTTTTTCTGTGGGGATCTTTAAAATATCTAGGTTATTCAACTCTAGTTAATAATATGCAAGCTTAACAAAACAGAATTATACCTGGAGCTACTGTTTCAAGAAACAAGACAAAAACAATGCAAATATTGCATTTTAACTTTTTAAGGAGAATAAACTTGTGTACTTAAGAAAATGGTGGTCATTTTGAACGTTTATTATATGTTTCAGTTTATTTAAAAACGAATTAAAGAACCAACTGTGCACTAAGGTTACTTAGTCCCAGCACACGTTACTACTGTTTTTAAATTGTTTTACTATTCACTGAATATTTGCTTCCTAACAATAGATGTTTTCATGGGAAAATATATTACCGTTGCAAGGTCAATGCAAGAGCTTTGCGCCATCTATCAGTTTATATAGCAAGTAATAGAAACATAATTTTATTTTAAAGAAAACTGTAAATTATCGTTTCGGCAATCTGTCCAAGGTTACAGCGTCGGCATAAATAGCTTCTTTTTTTCTTGTTTTCTTTTTCTTCTTATTTGTATTGGATTAGTTTTTCACTATCTACCCAGTGCCAGTGTTTCATTTTTCATTATCATAAATGTGGCAAAATCACCCATAACAGCCCTAACACGCGTTACTTGGCAAACAGTGCAAGGTTGTTATAGTGTTGACGTACATATTGTACTGTATTTTCGATTATATGGTATAAGTATATTGTACTTTTATTCCCTAGGGATTCCACTAAACAGCCACAATTTAAAAAATATATATAACAATTATCTGATAAGCGTAATGAAAAGAAAAGATACCATCTAATGTATGCAGGGCACTACAGTGTTAAGGCCACCCCAACCTAAAAGTTGACAATCACTGTTTACCTAAGGAAGTTTAGAATTGTATGCAGTTCTAGTCAAGAATGTGGTTCTTATTAATAGTGTTCTTAATAATTTTATTCGCAAATAAAACACAAAGAAGTCTACATTTTTTTTTAATATTTATATGCTTACCTGGAATATACTGTTGTCCAGACTACTGTTTCAGATTTTGAGTTGTGTAGTGCTATAAGAGTATCGTCGAAAAGGGGAGAAACTCTATTAGCCGTAAAGTATTTCTTACAACTATTTGGAATGTTTACTTTTGTTAAAAGACAATGGATTTCGAAGGTACTGTCTAAAGAAATGCTCCACTCAAGTGGAAACATAAATACCAGATCAGTTTTTACGCTGGTTAGAATCGTTGTTAAGGTATTGTCTATATTTCCAGTTGATAAAGATATACTGCACTAAAAGGAAAAAAAATGATGAATCATTATTTGGTACTCAAAGTTTATTTTCTTATGATAGAATTGTTTCATTGTATAACGATCATATTATTTTAAATAAGGGTTCAAAGGGGTGGGTTAGTTCAGTGGTTAGAGTCATGACTTTGAGATCGAAAGGGCTCAAGATCGAATCCCACCGGTGGCAAGGATATTTTTTAAATTCAAAAATATATTAATTCTAACGCAAAGGTAGGATTCCCCTCTCGACCATTCACTGTTGGATTCTGATTAACAGTGCTGTTCCTAAAGTGGCGCTGGGAAACAGTAACAAATCCCACACAGAACACGAGGCTAATAACCCAAGTACTTAATGCCGATGACACCATTTTAAAAAAATAAAGATTCAAAATATAAAAGCAGTCTCAATAGAATATTTAGGAAGAATTACATAAATTGCAATAAACATTAAAAAAAAGGAAAAGTTTAATTTCCAGAAAGATCTTTTGGTAATAACTTCTAAATTAATTATTTTATATGTAATTACAATTTGTACAAAATTATGCAAGCCTTAAAATTTACCTAATCATTTCCAGTCACTGGCACTGGTGGTTGAATAAGTGCGCCTTCGCCAATTTTACTTGTCTGTATATACAGATAAGGAAAGTATAGAAATCATTGTTTTTTCGACCTCGAGTTGCCGACGGATTTTTTTGTTTTGAGCTCCCCTGAATCCGTTTTGACTATTTTCGCGATGATGTCTGTTTGTCTGTCTGTTTATCTATGTCTGTTTGTCTGTGTTTGTCCGTATTTGTCTGTGTTTGTCTGTGTTTGTCTGTGTCTGGTTGTGTGCGTCTGTTTGTCTGTGTATGTTTGTCTGTGTTTGTTTTTGTGTGTCTGTCTGTGTCTGTTTGTCTATGTCTGTCTATATCTATGTCGGAACATCTGGGGGGCACTTTATAGGAAGTCGTTCTGTTTATTTTATGGAATATATCTGATATTTACACTTGGAGAAGAAAATTCTTCAAGTAAAAGTTGCTTGTAATATTATTCTCTATCATTTTTGTTTTATACATTTTTTTTAAATGGCCCGTATTCGAAAAATTTAAAAGTAAAAAAATAAAATTTTTAAGAAAATTGTTCAAATAAAAGTTGTTTGCAATATCATTCTATAAAATTTTTATTAAATACATGATTTCTTTAAAATGGACAATAATAATGTAATACATTCCCTTTCATCACCCTACAAGTTCATAATTATACATTCAATCGTTTCAAAGAAAATACCTTGGTACCAGACTTTTTCGCTACCCCGTATAGCCTTCATCAAAAAAGGACAATGTAAGCAGTGTATATTACATCATACGCAACGCTATTGTAATGGTAACTATTAATTCATTTTCCCATAATATCAAATTCAAATCAGATCAAAATTTAAAAAAAAAGTCAAGTCACTTCTACTATGTTAATTAGTTTGTTGTCGTTATTGTAATGTAATGTAATTTTATTTTTTCTTTCCTAATTTCTTATTTTGCACTTTCTTCCAATCTGGTTCGTGTAGTTTTAGATGTATATGACATAATAATATGTTTCAATTAACTAATTATTAAACCTTAATAATACTGTAAAATATACCTTATTAATAATAGCCATTACATGGCAGTTGCATGGGCTATTTTATCTACGACCAGTTATCTAGTTATAAATAACAATTATATATTAATAATTATATGTCTCTGTCATTACTGACAATGGACAAAACAAATGTCACATTGGTACCGTTTCTATTATATCAGATAGTATTTTCTGCCAAAACCTTTTAGAGCTCTACTCATATTTATCAATTTACTGATATGAAATATGAAAACGATGATGATGATGATGAAAATTATGTGTATTTATTAAGTAGGGAATGGGATTTGATAAATATAAAATATATTATTTTTATTGATTATGTAATAATTTTAAACTCATTTAATATATATAAACAATAATGATTGTAAAAAAACTCAAAATCCTAAAAAAAATAAAAAGTAGAAAAATAGGACTGATACTTCTATTGATATCGATTTAACATTATATCAATCTTAATATCGCTTAAAGCCTCATATAACCCTTAAGAATAACCAAAGTCTATTTGGCATACTTTTAATGAAGCTATCATTGCAGAGTTGAGGATCTTTTGTTAAGTTTCTTTGATATCTCAGCCCTTAATTAACTGTAACAAATACCACCCCAACACAAATTAATCCTTCACTGAAAAGATCGTTGGTAGCATAAGTTTCACTGTACCATTGTCCTTCCACGTCAAAATCATACCATCATACCTAACCAAATCTTTTACAGTTCTATAACCCTGTATATTATCTGCTGATTAATCGTTGGTTAGTAGCAATTTTTCTCGTCTCTAGTTGTAGGTATTAAAACTTATCTGACAATATGTCCGCAAATAATTGTTCCTAGAAATTTGGAAACCAAGAGGAGTAAAATATGATCTTCAGCATCGGTTGTAGCACTTTTACGGCCTCCAATATTCATATATGCGGGATTAACTGTATTACTGAACTTAATCAATGCTAAATTGATCATACTTTAGAATAAACTTAATCTTTCATCAACTCAGCCAATGGCAAGAGGCGTGGAGGGGGTGGGCGTGGAGAGTAGATTAGATTTAATTAGGACTGTGCGCCATGTGACCTTCTCCACCTCGTCCATTTTAAATCTATTGTGGATATCCTTGTTTAGATTACCTTGTCTAGTTTAGTCTTTTGTACTAGATTCCATAAACTAGGAAACGTAGCTAGTTGCCCCCTTGGTTTTTCTTCTTCAAGTGTAAAGAATCTTAGTCTTAAAAGACCTTCACTGTAGCACAAAACGTGTACTGCGGTTTTCTCCTCTTCCTGGTAGAATCGGCACAGGGTCTCTTCTGCCAGACCGATGTTAACATGAAGAGAGTGGATTAACCCACGGCACTAAGGCCTCACAGATTTAATGTAGTTGACAACGTCGCCAACGTCTTATATCGGCCGGCGTTAACCAATTCTCTCCGAACATAAATCTTCTAATAAATAAGAGCGTCTGGCAATCATAGAGGATATGCTCGATGGTCTCATTCTTCTTGTTCGCACCCAAAGTGCAGCTTCTGACAGCCCCATGATATGAAGATGCTTCCGTACTTGGCAATGGCCAATCAGAATGCCTGTGATTAGGCACAGATTCTGTCTAGTTATAGACACGTATTTGTTTGCTGTAGTGTTGTCAAGATAACTTAAAAGCTCCCTGGCAACTCTGCAGCTTCTTGTTTCATCCCATCTTTCCTTGAATTTTTCACAAGGGAATGTTCTTTAAATAAGTTTGTGACTACCGATGTTGTCAGTCCGATAGAAGGGCCAGATTAAAAAAATTATTTGGTGACTGCTTTCCTGGCTAGTAAATCACTAAGACGGTTACCTTTTTATGTGGCGTGATCTTTTATCCATCTTAAGGTGACCACATTGTTGAAGGATACTTCGGCCATAGTTTCGTGGCATTCTAGTACTAACCCTTCGTAAATTCGTGGTCTGTCCAGGGTGAGTAGTGCTTGTCTGCTATCTGTATAGATGAGCATGTTCCTATATTGTTTCTGGTGATTAATTTTGCTGCTATACGAATCTCCGTAAGCTTGGTTTGAACTACACTGGCACTATTGCTTACAGGTCATTTTATGTTTAGGTTTGATGATATGGAATATACTCCAGATTCCACATCCTCAGCCTTGTTTTCTTTTGTTTTAGAACCGTCACCGTCGGTGTAGATATAAATGGTTCCTGTCACTTCCGGCTCTTCTATTTGTTCTAACTTTACATGACTTATGGAAGATACAAATCGGTGAGCTGGGGTCCATGTTTGCATGAAGCAGTGGGAGCGTATCCAGCCAAAAGCGACGTCTCGCCTCACCAGATCCTAAATCAGGTTCTATTCCAACCGTGCGGAGGCGTGTCACTGTCATCAGAGCAACCTTCTTGATATAAATATCAAGGGGAGTGAGACTTAAAAATGACTTCCTTGGTTCTAGTTGGTGTGGTTTTCATGGCTCCTGTTAAGTTGAGACATGCTGTTCTTTGAATTTGTTCTAGTTTGCGGGTATCTGTCAATTTTTAGGTTTTCGGTACAACTGCACCATATGTTAGCATAGGTCTTACATAGATCTTAAAAAATAATTTATTCAAGATAATTGAAATCACAATGTTATAGGACATCTCACAGGACTAGCATAAATACGTTTAATACTTTTTACAAATATCTGGTCTTCTGTCAAACCAATAAGTTAAGTTTTTGTTTGACTGTGTAATCCCGGTCTACATGCTTTTTATTAATGTACTAACCTTCAACATGTGAGTCATATTATATTCTATTTAAATATAAAGTACAATTTTCCATAGAAACTAGCAATTAAGTTAATATTTATTTACTTTTACAGCTAGGTACTAATGTAATTTAATGTTATTTATAAGGTCATTTATAATAAAAAACTAATTTCAAATCAAAACATTTCTAGAAAAATATTATGGACACACCATAAACTATTAGGAAATTTTAGGGGCTTTAATAAATAATTTCAATTTAGAAAAAACATGTTAATTTACTTACTATTTCTCTATTTGTAATATCTCCAGCAGAAATTTGAACACTGGGTAAATCAACTAATACTTCTTTTTCTTCCTGGTTACCTAAAATGTTGCCATTTATGGTATATTCCAAATTTTCCAAATACCTTGGAATGTCGATGACAATGAAAATATAACCTTTCGAATGTACAGAATTAGATTTAATTATATCATTAGTAATATTCTGGCAACAATTCTTGAGACATTCTCTAACTTGATTATTTTCTGCTATGTCGTATATGGCTGTTTCGTACGTTTTGGAGGTTTTGGTGGATGACCAATTTAAAAAAGGTTTTACGTTTTCAAGAGGCCTGAAACAAAATAATTATTATTATTTACACTCACGAAGTTGATATCTTATTTTTTATATTTCAGAATAGGTTTTAAAGAAACATTTATTATCTAGTTTCCCTAATATATTTTTTAATCTGTTAAAACTTGAGTCAAAATTTTTCTCCTGCCTCTTTATAAAATGTAAATATTATGTAGTACCTATTAAAATCTTGTAATTAAAATTTTAGTTTAAAACTATTATAAGGACTTCTTTGGGTATATCCTGTTTGTGTTCCTTGATACAAAAAAAAAATACAAAAAAAATGTGATTCATGTACTAATTGACGAAGCTGAGATCCATTCTGATAGAATTCAAGTTACAATAAGGTACACGAATGACACATTATTTTTTGTATCAGCATTTGTAAAAATTACGATAAATATAATAAAATGTCAAAGTTAATACGTGTTTGAAAATTAAGAAATTAATTTTAAGTATCGTTATTTTAAAGCTTGGATTAGTGGATGACCCTGTATCAAAAAATGATGAATACAAACAAGCAACAAACGCATTTCCCAGTTATTTATTGTTTTATGAAACTTTTTAGCACTACACCCTCAGTGGTACAAAAGGATACAGAAAAATAATAGAAATCAGTTTATTAACTTTACCCTGTTAAAATATAGATAAATAAAAATTAAATGGCCTCATGTGAGCTATAATGGCAGCAAAGTGGTATGATGCATCTCCCCTACCGCTCTATAGGTACCTTTAAAAAAATTACTCAACCCAATTCATAATGTTGCTTTTTACTAGAGTTTTATTAAGAAACTGTTGTTGACTGGACTACATCAGATCCACTGTGCTACGGGGTAAAGCGCAGAAGCTATTTTCGTCATCAGAAAATCGACCTGATTTTCCGGAGCTGCAGTGCAGTGAACATCCCTCAATGGACACTTCCCGGTCCTTAAAAAACCATTCATAACAAAAGGGCTCTTGAAACATGCAAGGGGGTTAATATTTACTTGTTTTTGTTTAATTTGTGATGTAAAGTTGTCTTTTAAGTTCGGGTAAAAAGTGTGCTATTAAGAAGTCGTATCAAACTAACTACTATCCTAAAGAAGAAACTATTAGGTATGTCAAAACACCGGCTGGTGGCCCATATTTTTATTTGATATTATTTTCTTCCATAGATTAAGTAAAAAAAATACTTAGTTAATTTTAAATTAATATTTTATATTTTAATTTTTTATATACCACTAGTAATCCAAAAATAATAGTTTAAAATAAAAACGGCATAATATCTAAACAACGTTTTAAAATTCCGTGTAAATGAAAAAAAAATGAAAATATTTTTACAGTAAAATTGAAAATTGAAAAAATAATCAGATATACCAAGGGCATAAAGGAGAAATATTTTATTTTACATGTCAATTTCAATATTTTTTAATTTTAATCTGTAAGTATATATTTATAACTAATAGTTACTAAAAAAGTAATTTTTTAAATAGTATATACACTAATTAAGTTGGCCTACTTTTTAAAATAAATTTTGCATAACTATCTACTACAAATAAAATTAGCCTATGAGTTAAGATTTTGAACTTATAACAATTAAATAATTCTAATAAATCTAATTTCATAAATATTTTATTACACTTTATACGAGGTGACAATTTCAAAAACTAACAATAACTCATAAATTAAAGAGGATGTCAGAAAACTAAAAAAAAAAAAAAAAAACAATAATCGTGAACTAGAAGTATTTTAAAAACACATAAAATATCTTCCTTTTAAATAGGTGGTTAATACCTTATATCATTGAAAAGCATTTTTACTAACCTTTCAATGATGTATAACAAGTAGAGGGTTCTATATCTGTAAGAAGGGAGAGGATGGGTTGCCCCACAGTACTTAGGCTTCACTAGGCCCATTATGCAACCATTAAGTCGCCCCGGATCGCAACGGCAAATAATAATAATAGTCGTCCCTTCCCCAGACAAGCTCGTCTTTTGGGGTTAAAATTCAATTGTAAGGGGGTGAATTAGGGAGAGTATTATTATTATTATTATTTTTAACGGTTCTTCTGCTACCCAATTCTTTTTTAATCACTCCAAATTTTATGTTATCGCTGATACCGCAGAACGGCTCTGGTTCCACAAAGCCCCTTCTCTAAAATCTCGTGACCCTTAACTGTAATTTCCTTGCCCAGCTCATTCAGTTTTTCTAGGACCATTTTTGAGTTGTTTAGGTAAGAGCTCATCGCTTTGATGGCTGCTTAGCTATCTGCGATAGATTCTCGAGATGTTAAACTGGATATACTTCTTAATGATGTGAATTTCCGCTTGGAAGTACTAAACTTTTAGAGTGTCTGGTTCTAGACCCATACACTCCTATTCCAGTACCTTCTGTGGTTTTGGAACCATTCCAATACCACTGAATTGTATGCAGGCTAATTAAGTCGCCGAGGCGTCACTAGAAGACCTATTTTTGGAAGTGGCAATTTTGTGGTAAATTCCCAGATGAAGCTATTCTGTCCGCCCGTTCTATAGGAAGATCCTAATACCCGACTAAACTTGGTTTTTACCCTTGAAAAAGTGCAAGCTCACTTAGTTCCGTTATTGGTAGAAGTAGAATTCGCTTCTACAATAGTTTTGCTAATTAAGAAAACGAAAGTGTTTCCTCTTTTAAATAGAACAAGAAACAGAAAGTGACTCTGAAGTGGGACGTATGGTAAAAATTACAAATATTCCCGCATTCACAGGAAAAGAGGTAATAAACTATATGCAGCATACAATTGGACTAGGAAAATTCCCCTATAACAATTCCCGACTGCAAAATACATAAAAGTGCAAATACATAAAGGTGGTTATAAATGTAAACGCGCCGGGCCCGGACCGTGCCTGCGTAATCCCAACAACGGGCAAAGTTCGTCAGATTTGTACGGTCCTGTACATGATACTATAAAAAGAAGGTATGATATTACGCTGATTGATATTATTGATACTATACGTCACGTATCAGGCATTCCAAACAAAATGGTTGTCAGTGGGTTTTGACATGATATGATGTGGTTATATGGCAATCCTGTGGGCCTGGTGATTTGACAGGGTCAGTGATATAGATAGTTATATAGATTGATCATACATGTTCAAAAAAAACATAAGCTTATGCCTTGAAATAAAAATGTAATTATTTTTTTTACTATATTCAAAGGCTGAAAATTGGTTTTAAAACACATTTTTGTTAAACTGATTCTGATTAACGAGCACTTGCGAAGCAATATGGCTGCTCACAAAACGACCCGCTTTGAGCAATCTATACAACTATATACGTATCATTGACCCTGTCAATGACAGCAGACCACAGGGTTGCCATATCTGAACTGTGAGTTCCCACTGTGAGCATTTTGACAGCTCGTTGGAATGCCTATTAAGGCATTTCAAACAAAATGGCTGCCAGTGGGTTTTGACAGGTTACGACACATACTTTGATTACTATACGAGGCAAGAGCGAGGTCCGACACGCCCAACATCACATACTTTGATTTTCTTTTACTATACGGAGAATGGTCGCACTGCGCAGCTTTCTGAGTGCCTTTTAAAAGGAGGTAGAAAACTCCGCCATTTTGAACCCTTATTACGTGTTGCCTACATCTTGGCGCAATATTTTTAATAGGTGCGTTTTAATCATCCGCTTCTGCTTCGGAATTGTCGGTTTTCTTGTTTTAATCTGACAGGTTAAAACGACTAAACCGCCAATTCCGGAAGCAGAAGCGGATGATTAAAACGCACCTAATATTTTGCTTGCTGCTGTCAGTGTCAGTGAATATTATTTTTGAAGTCACAGTTTATTGCTAAAGAATCAGTTAGCTCACTCGGACCAGTTGAAAGTTCCAAAATAACATCCACTCCAGGGATACAAATTCAGGATACGCAGAAGACTGCTGTTTTATTATTCGCTCCGTGCGAAGTCATGGAAAGGGAAGCAAAAGCGATACTAGCGCTAGCTGCGGATAATTCGTGCATTTTAGGGGGATATTTTGTAATTTTGGCATATCAAATACACGTATACATTTTACTTTTTTTCAAAAAAAGTAGGTAAAAACAATACAATAAGCAACCGGCGTTACTGTGTTGAAAATTGTACAAATACTAGCAATAAAAACAGTGAAACTTATATAAAAAATTTCAGTAGCAAAGTGGAAATTAAATTAAAGAAATGAATGGATAGATATACAATAAGAAGGAAAATTACCTTTATTTTTGTAATAATAACCGTAATGCTGCAAATAGTAGACATCAGAAACTTGAAAGGTTTTAAATCAACAATAGATTATCATTTTACCATGTTCTTTAATATCCCTTATTCTTAAATGTTCATTCAGCAAGGACTAGATTTCAAGATTTCTGCCTTTGATTTATTATATGTGGTTGGAACGCAATTTTGTAACTTACTGATAGAAAATCAGTTTTAATCATTCATTCTATGTTTTCTTTCGAACAAAAATGAATATATAAGTAATGATCCTTTTTTATACATTTTAACTTCACGCTATTATTAAATGGTATTTTTGTATTTTGACAGAATAGACTAATTCTTCAATGAAAACTTATTAGACTTAGGCAACTTCTCATACATTTTCCAGTAAATACTGTTGCCTGCCTATATTTTATTATGGATTTTTATCAATTATACATAATTTTCTTTAATTTAAGCGATAAAAATATATAATAATAATAAATTAATGTTTTACTTGTTTTACAAATCCATATACTTTTATTAAAACTAACATGTATACTTTTTAATTACGAATTCTATTAAAAGTTGCATTTGTCAGTATACGCCGAAATCCTCCATTAGTATCAAAACGAATTGGCGCTGCTGTCGCGCACGGAGCGAATATTGTATTATCCGAGTTTCACAGTGTATAAACTGAAACATTGAGATCCAAAGTGCCGACGCAGAGTGAGCGATCTGATTCTTTAGCTGTAAACTGTGTCACAGGGTTCAAAATGGCCGCGCCCAATGTTGGGCGTGTCGGACCTCTCTCTTGCCTCGTATAGTAATCAAAGTATGTGCCCAACATGCCCAACATAGGTCGCGGCCATTTTGAACCCTGTGACACAGTTTACAGCTAAAGAATCAGAAAGCTCACTCTGCAACGGCACTTTTGATATCAATGTTTCAGTTTATACACTGTGCAACTCGGATAATACAATATATGACAACCGCCTATAATAAAACAGCAGTCTTCTGCGTATCCTGAATTTGTATTCCTGGAGTGGATGTTATTTTGGAACTTTCAACTGGTCCGAGTGAGCTAACTGATTCTTTAGCAATAAACTGTGACTTCAAAAATAATATTCACTGACACTGACAGCAGCAAGCAAAATATCAGGTGCGTTTTAATCATCCGCTTCTGCTTCCGGAATTGTCGGTTTAGTCGTTTTAACCTGTCAGATTAAAACAAGAAAACCGACAATTCCGAAGCAGAAGCGGATGATTAAAACGCACCTATTAAAAATATTGCGCCAAGATGTAGGCAACACGTAATAAGGGTTCAAAATGGCGGAGTTTTCTATCTCCTTTTAAAAGGCACTCAGAAAGCTGCGCAGTGCGACCATTCTCCGTATAGTAAAAGAAAATCAAAGTATGTGGGTTATGATATGACAATCTTGTGGGCCTGGTGATTTGACAGGATCAATGATATAGACAGTTATATAGATTGATTATACATGTTTTTCAAAATAAACATAAGCTTGTGTCTAAGTAAAAATGTAGGTAATTATTTTTTTTATTATATTCAAAGGCTGAAAATTGGTTTTAAAACACATTTTTGCTAAACTGATTCTGATTAAGCAGCACTTGCGAAGCAATATGGCCGCTCACAAAACGACCCGCTTTGAGCAATCTATACAACTATATATGTATCACTGATCCTGTCAATGACAACACGCCACAGGGTTGCCACATCTAAAGTGTCAGTTCCTACTTGTCAGCATTTTGACAGATCGTTGGAATGCTTAAATGTGGTGAAAGGCGTGTCTTTTACGAATTTGACGTATCAGCTGATCAAAAACAGCGCGCAAAAATTAATTTTAATGGACTCATGACCCATCAGATAACCATAT